TTGATTTTTCTCCACTCTTCTCTATTCATTGTCCAGCTTTCTCATGCATATGGAACAATTAAAAATACAATGGCTTGGGCCAGGCACACCTTAGTCTTCTAAGTAACGTCCTTGCTCTTAAACCTGTTGTTGTTGTCAGGTGCCATTGAGTCTGAACCAACCCCTAGTGACCCCATGCACAGCAGAACGAAACAATGTCTGATCCTGGGTTAACCTCACTATTGCTGCTACACTTGAGTCCATCAATGCTGCCACCTGGCCAATCCATCTTGTTGGGGGTCTTCCTCTTTTTCTCTGACCCTCCCTCTTACCAAACATGATATCCTGCTCCAGCGACTGTTCTCTCTTGACAATATGTCCAAAGTATGAGAGATGAAGCCTAGCCATCTTGGCCTCCAAGGAGTACTCTGGCTATACTTCTTCCAAAACAGATCTATTGGTTCTTTTGGCAGTCCATGGCACTTTCAATGTTCTCCTCCAATACCACAATTCAAAGGCATCAATTCTTCTACGGTCTTCCTTATTCACTGTCCAACTTTCACATGCATATGAGGTTATTGAAAACACCATGGCTTGGGTCAAGCACACCTTAGTCCTCAAGCTGACATCTTTGCTCTTCAACACTTTGAAAAGGTCTTGTGCAGCAGATTTGTCTAATGCAATATGTCGTCTGATCTCTTGACTGCTAATTCTGCGAGTGTTGATAGTTGATCCAAGAAGAATGAAGCCCTTGACAACTTCAATCTTTTCTCCGTTGATAAGAATGTTGTTTATTGGTCCAGTGGTGAGGATTTTTTGTTTTCTTGACATTGAGATGTAATCCATACCGAAGGCTGGCCTCTTTGATCTTCATCAGTAAATGTTTTCTTAAACCTTAAAGAGGTCTTTTGCAGCAGATCTTCCTAATGCAGTGCATCATTTGGTTGCTTGACTGTTATTTCCATGAGTGTTGGTTGTGGATCGACAACTTCAATCTTTTCTCCATTTATTATGATGCCATTTATTGGTCCAGTTGTGAGAATTTTCATTTTCTTTACATTGAGGTACAATCCATATTGAAAGCTGTAGTCTTTGATCTTCATCTAAAACAAAGTGATGGGAACCCATAAAGGTTTGTAAATAGCCCTGGTGAAAGACCCTTTATGGCTTGCATGCCAATTTATGTCAAAGATCATACAGATTATTTCAAAAAACAGCCTCCTCATAGATGGAAGTAGAGTTTGCTTTGGACTAGACTGCTACACATAGTTGAGCGTGTCAAAAGAACTCTTTCAGTTACTTCTATGGTACCCTGAGCCTTGGATTAGAGACTCTTGGCAGCAGGGATAATGGGAAATCACATGTCTTTGCCATTAAGGCAAAATACTGTGCATTAAATAACAAGAGGGGGAAATGGTACGTCTCCTCAGAACCCAACTAGTTTTATTATTTGGATGCTGGACGAAAAGTATTTTCTTATTGCTGTGTAGATACAGAGATAAAGAGCAAGAAGAGTCATTTGTCTCTGCTTTCTGATAGCCACCAGAGCTCCAATTCTCACAATAACAGCAGAAGGGACGTTATCCAAGAGAGAAGTGTAATTCACTTTAAAGGGAAGCTGAGAAATGATTATCTAAATAAAACTAAATAACAACAAAGCAATAAATGTACCCTTGCAAAAGAAAAAGAATTCACCTATGGTTTACACAATCTAGTAAGTACTTACTTGCTTAATAAAAACCTTATAATAATGATGAATAATTATTCTGGTAAGTATGTGGATTCTATCTTCATATTGTCCTGGGGTGGTGGTGCGGGATAGTGCACTAGACTGCAAGGTCAGTTTAAACTGTTTATAAAGTAAAAGATTTTGAAAAGCACTTACTTTGTGTAGATAGCTATGGTAGAAATGTTATCGATAATGACACATACTCAAGATATCCAATCTGTACACATTTTAGCTAGAGTGAGGTTTTCTTTATTTGATTTCACAAAGTCAGGCACCCAACCCTCTAGACATGGTCAGACATTCTGCATGGCCTGCCCACAAACAATGTTATTCCCATAGCTCGAAAAAGCCCCTACGTCTGTTACAAGATCTCCCCTGAATGGTGTCCATGGTCTTAATGACTGTATTCTGATTTAAAGTGCATAGTCCTAGAACAGATGTCCTTCCCCTCTTCTGCCAACTCATCCTGCTTACATATCCCTGTGTGTAAATCAACAGCCTATGTCTGGTCTAACAATATCATGAGCCCTTTATATCTGAAGATGGACTATTTTAAGAATTTCTCACGGCTATATTAAGAAAAACATTCAAGAAAGCTAAAGGTTAATTATATTAAACATCTAATTGATAAATTGTTATATTTGTTTGGTTGTTGTTGTTGTTAGGTGCCATTAAGTTGGTACCAACTCATAGCGACCCTATGCACAACAGAACAAAACACTGTCCAGTCCTGGGCCAACATCACACTTATTGCCACACTTGAGCCCATTGATGTTGCCACTTTGCCAATCCATCTCACTGGGGGTCTTCCTCTTTTTCTCTGACCTCTACCTTACCAAACATGATATCCTTCTCTAGGGACTGGTCCTTCCTGGCAATATCTCCAAAGAATGAGAGACAAAGTTTGGCCATCTTGGCCTCTAAGGAGCACTCTGGATGCAATTCTTCCAACACAGATCTGTTGGTTCTTTTGGCAGCCCATGGGACTTTCAATATTCTCCTCCAACACCATAACTCAAAAGCGTCAATTCTTCTTTGGTCTTCCTTATTCACTGTCTAGATTTTGCATGCATATGAGGTTATTGAAAATACCATGGTTTGGGTCAGGCACACCTTAGTCTTCAAGCTGACATGTTTGCTCTTCAACACTTTAAAAAGTTCTTGTGCAGCAGATTTGCCTAATGCAATATGTCATTTGATTTCTTGACGGTTGCTTCCATGAGTGTTGATAGTTGATCCAAGAAGAATGAAGCCCTTGACAACTTCAATCTGTTCTCTGTTGATAAGAATGTTGTTTATTGGTC